CAGGAGCAGACAAACCAAAACATTGTTCTCCGTTTTATTTGCCTAATTTTTTTCCTTATTTTCATCCTATGAAGTTGGGTAACAGAAACTAAAAAATGTTAAACCATGTTGCAATGACCTATAGACTTGTTTATCTCATCTCTTTTGTGGCGTAATAATATAATGCTATCTTTTCTTCTAATCTGAGTAACAGATACAAATCCTACATGTTCATGCATTTGCACTACATTAAATTCACTAAAAAATTTTTAATTCTTTTCTCTGTTTAAACACTTTTCAAGGATGATGAGAATGAGATTCTTGATGATCTTCACAGATGGGTTTTTATAAGCCAAAACTCACTGGAATCAGAATGGAGACATGAAAGCATTTTCTGTCATGTGAACTTGCACATCGATAGCCAGTTCTCAGTTACCAAGGAGACAGTAATTCCTGGGAATAGGAGCTCATGGGAAAACACCTGCATACAGTTTGAGCTGCACACTTCCCCTTAATTTTCTCAGAAGCTTCTGGTTTTGCTTCATCATATCTCCCCCAGGCTTTCTCACCCACCATCCAACTTAGGAAACTGACCCCTGGCTTCTGCCCTCTGCCAACATCCTCTTTGGGTGGTGCTGACGGGCAGTGAAGCAGCCAAGCCTTGGGCTTCAGGAGTGAGGGGAGGCCCAGCTGGTTGGCAGAATGGATTTTTGCTTCTTGAGCAGTGGAGGAATGTGACAGGGAGCGGGAGCTGGGGCCCGGTTCCCAGGGCAGAGTCCAAGCTGTCCAGGCTCCAGCCTGTGACCCCAGCCCCTGCCCTGTCCTGCGGAGGAATCTGCCCAGGGGGAGCGGGTTGCGGGTGTGGAGACTCAGGCTAGGAGAACAGAACCTGGCTGGGCTCTCGCCCACCTGGGACCCAAAGCGCACCTCCTCCTGTGTCCACGGCTGTGGTCTGAGGTGCCACCCACGTCTGAGAGCAGCTTCCAGGGACTCTCAGGGATTTCACTGAATGTATGAGATTTTAATGCATTTAAAATATGTTCTCGTCACTAAGGCTCAACTGAGGAAAGTGTACATATTAATATTGTTGGGAGGAGAGGGGAGGGAAGATTGAAGCAATAAAATAAATCCTGATTCCAAATGTATAGTTTACATATTATAAAGTAATTCACTTGCTTTCTTCTTAGTAAGTCATTCTTGATAACTTTGTTGGCCCAAAAGTACATCTTCAATTCAAGACTTTTCTTTAAGTATAAAAGCGGTTAGGTTTCCTTAGAAACCTTTAAAAGTAAACGCTAGACTTAGTAATAAGATTTAATGCTAAACTAGGGCTTTAAGGGTGATTTTTCCAAATGCAAATTACTAGAGAGGCAATCAGAAACCACAGCAGGGATCCCTGGGGTTGACTTTCCCTTCATCCCCCCAGAGGTCAGAGAGGGACCGTCTGTGTCATCACAGGGGTGGAGCTCTGTGGCATGGCCTTGGAACCAGCAGGGGGAGGAACTCGAATGCACATTCCACGGAGGCTGCTCGCGCCCCACAGGGGGAACAAGGCTGCTTCTCAGGGTGGCAAGAGGTGGGATGGGGCAGGCAGGATCCCACAGAGACCAAGTGTGGGGTGAGCCTGTGAGGGCCGGCTGAACTCTGACCACACACCTTTAGGGACAAAGACCAGAAAGTACAAACCATCCTGGCATTTCAGACCGTGCATTCTGTGTTTTCTGTGTAATCTGAATCACACTGGTTGTTGGTAAAAGTAAAATGTAAAATAGTTTTGAAACCCTTAGATTTGGGTTTCATTAGCTAAAAGAGAAAGAAAAGGAACCGCTGTTTATTTAGTGTGTACTATATGTCGGGTGCTATGCTAGACATATTTATGACTTGTCTCCTGTGACCCTTGTAGCACGGGAGCCTCGTTTAGCAGAGAGGAGCATATATCACATAGGTACTGAGATCCAGGCAGGACTAGCCAGGAAGAAGCAAGTGCGGAGTGGAACAGAAGAGTCCAAAATGGCCCAGTTGTGGGTGGGAGGGAAGTTTCAGCATAGTAGGAAGGTATGATTTATGAAATAGTGACTCGTGGAAGAATGGGCTACCTGACTGGAAAAAGTAGGATTGCCCCATATGCATAAAAACAGTGGAAGGATTAAGAATTTAAATGTAAAAAGTAAAACAATTCTTATCCAACCATATGAACATTAGCTAATGAGGCCAAGTTTGTCAATGTAATGCCTACAAGGAAAGCTGACGCTACTGCACTTTTGCCCGCATGCTGTCTTCCAAATTGCGGCTTAGGGATCATGAATGCGGGTTTGTCAGACGCTGGATGTGTGTGGGTAGGCAGGGTGGTGGCTGATGTCCCTGTCCCCAGCTTTACTGAAAACTTGCCAAGCCAGTGCCTCGTGCAGGAAGCTCCTGGCAGACCTGTAGCCTGGCCCCAGCCCCAGCCCTAGCCCTGGACTCCCTGGAACACACTGCATGCCTGCAGGCTGGTCCCTCTGCCTGGAACACCCCCAGCCCCACCCTTTTCTAACCCGAAACATCCCATTAACCTTTAACATTCAGCTCAGATTTCAGCTTTTCCAGTGGAGCTCTCTTTCTGCTTCCTTAGGACGGGTAGGATGTGCTCTGTCCAATCTGCCGGGACACCACACAGACAGCACTTCCCAACCTATCTCCCCACACACAGTTTTATTCAGTTTTGAATTCCTGAAAGATAAGATTTTATCCCATTATCTCTGTATCTCCCATCCTGTGGCAAGTGCAGGGGATCTCAGGAAAATGTCATTTTCTCCATCACTGCAGACTTCCCAAGTCTTAGCAGGCCTCTGCCTCGTGGCACATTGGTCTATATCACTTTGCTGCAACTTTGCAGCGTGTCATAATGTTTTCGTGTTGAAGAGCAATTTCGGAGCATTGATGTGTTACTGCAGTGCTAGCTATTTAAACCTTGAAACCACATAATGTGAATGAACTCAGAGTTTAATGCCCCATACGTACGTGAAGGTAGTGGGAAAGGGGCAGAAAACCCAAAGGTGGCCATAGCCACCGCATCTTGTGGACTCTTAATTCAGAAATCTCCCAAGTCCACATCCTCCTTCCTTAGACACTTGACGCCAGGCATTGGAAGACAAAGGACGCTGAGCCCCTCCCACCAGCACCAGCCCCGCTCTCCCCCACTCCCAGTCCCCTCCATGCCCGCTCTCCAGCCGCCCCTAAGCTATTTTTTTCTAAAATGTGCTATGAACTTTCCCTCCCATGCTCAGGAAAAGACAACCACTGAACTTTCCCTCCCATGCTCAGGAAAAGACAACCACTGTGTACCCTCCAAAGGTGCCTGGCCTCCACAGCGTCCCCTTCCAGCTGTGGGTGTAACTAACACTGGACCTGGCCCTTCTGGTGTCCCCCATGGTCTAACTTGCCGGGCACCTCCGACCCGTAGTTTCACCAGCAGACGGATCCATTCATTTGTTCACTCAATAACTGGTGTCAAGCACCTATATGTGAGGCTTAGACACACTCTCTCGTCCTTCCTTCCACTCATAAACAAATGATGCTTAAGCACCACGACCTTCTTGAGAATCTTCCCTCAGATCCCCTTCCCATTGGCTCCTTTTCTGAAATTTTTTCCAGCACGTTGTCATATCCGCACAGAGAGAGCTCCCATTGAAAGACATTTGCTGAATAAGCTCATTTTTTTATTGGATGTCTGTCGTTATCCCTGACACCATACTCAGCACACAGTATTAATTAATACATATTTGGTGGCTAAGTCAGGAGCTGTCAGTTTGATTAGATGATGCCTTCATGTTCTACCTATCGAGAATCCTGCCTTGCTAACACTGCAGTCTGCTTTCATAGCAAATCTACCCTGTTCTTCTCCGTATTGCCTCTAACGCAGCCATACACGTCCAGAGCCTCAGCTACTCCTGCTGGCTGTCCTTTCCCTAACCCATGGAGGAAGTGGCTTTGATGTCCAGTGTGAACCCTGCACGGGGCCATTTGATGGGGTCCCTGTCTCTGTGCAGGAACACAGCTCTGGCTGCAGAAGCCACAGACTGGGCTGAGAAGGTGCATTCCTGCCGTCTGGTCCATTTGCACTGCTCATGTCTCATCAGCCCCTCTTATACTGAGTAGAAGTCTGCTACTAGGCAGTTTGCCATGTAAAGTGTTCATATATTGTAGAAATATTTGGTGAACAATGTGGTGCATATATTCACCCTATGACAGTGTGTTCCAGTGGTTTAAGGGGAAAGTTTACAGACAGAAGTGATTTGGGGACCCTATACCAAATCCTCCTCCTCCAATGATCTTGGGCCAGTCATGTGGTCTGAATTTTAGTTTTCTCATGTATAAAATATAGGTAATATAAGTACCTTCCTTACAAAGCAGTTGTGAGGACCCTAGAAGGTAATATATAAAAGCACTTTGCAACCTCTCAACTAAGACGTGTTGGTTGCCATGTGCAAAGGGTCTACATCCCTGAAGAGCAGCCTCACGGGATAGCTAAATGGGAGGACGGCTGCCCTGCAGGAAGCACTCACGCTGAGAGTAAGCTGCGGTGGTGGAAACATCCTTCTTCGGTGCCCGCCTCCTCTCCTCTTAACTATTTGATCATATTAGGCCTCCCAGTTACAAGGAGAGTCGAGACATTACATATATTTCTTTTACCTTCTTATATACTTAATGGCTATCTATTATATTCTAAGTACAGGTTCAGCTCAGAATCACCCAGATGTATCCTAATCAAATCCTTGAAAAGAGATTAAATAGATTGAGTAAATAGATTCATCCAAACCTACCCTGCTGTAGAGCGCAGGGGCTGCCTGCACGTTGCACACTTTTGATAATGGTGCCTACAGGCTACGTGGCCCCGTCCCGCCGCCCCTGCCCTTGTCCACAGCTCCCGTCACCAGCAGACAGGAGTAGAGCCCTGGCGGTGGAAGGCCAGGGCGAGTGGTCAGCCCCAGGCCCACTGACTGCACAGGCAGGACGCTGACCACCTGCTCTTCTATCCCCAGATGGAGGTGGACACGGAGGAGAAGCGCCACCGCACGCGGTCCAAAGGGGTTCGAGGTATGTCTGTGCTTCCCTGCACCGAGGCCAGCTCAGGGTCACCTTCACCCTGTGGTTCACTCTGACCCTGCTCTCTCCACTTTGGTTAGTTTTCTGTGGAAGAGGGAACTTGTGACAGATGATAAATTTTTATCTATTCTCCATCTCTCCGCAGTTCCCGTGGAACCAGCCATACAGGAGCTGTTCAGGTTAGTGCTTTGCGGGTAAATGCATCCCCATCAGCAATTTAGGAAATCCATGCCTGCTAATGGGCGCACTGCGCTTTGAAGTTCATCGGCGGCTTGCTCATGCCCCACTGCCCTGATGAAATTAATTCCCCCGAGAGACTGGCTAATAAAAAGCATCCCCCAATTTCCCCCTCCATTCAATTGTGTGATTTCTCTCCTTCTGTCTGGGCTGCCCATGGAGGCATCCATCCCCTCCGCCCGCTGCGCAGTCCCTGTGTAATCGATTCTTTCCTATTGCAGCTGTCCCACCCCTGGCTGTGATGGCAGTGGTCATGTTAGTGGCAAATATGCAAGACACAGAAGGTAATGCCTGCATCTTTTCACAATGTACTGTCTAAAGGGGCTTATTTGGGGACTCTTCCAAATGATGAAACTGTGTGGGTAGGTGTTCTTGGAAAACAATGCATCTGTACTCTCCTTTCTTCTCTCGCTGGGACTCAGTCGTTTGTCTCTTGCACAGGTTCCCAAACATAAGCCATTCCGTCTCATGGCAGAACTGATGCTCATCCACAGGATGACACGAACTAAGGCCAGCCTCACACTCGCTGTGAATGCCATGCTCAGCGCGCAGGCTTCCCACTGCTGTGTGGGGAAGGCTTACTCTCCTTCCTCATTTCTCATTCTGGTAGCTGCGGGGTGATAAATCACAGATATAAATTAAAATGGGACCTACTGACCTGTCTGTACACCTGACGTCCATCATGTAACAAAGTTCATCCTGCGAAAGGAAGCCCCCACTAGGCACCTGGGCAGCTGCAGGGAAAGGTCACACCTGGAGGTGGAGGTCAGGGTGGATCGAGCTGGAGAGACTTTGGGATTGAATGATTACATTAATCTTGCAAATGCTGGGGTTTTAGGTCTTAACAGGGATGCATGTGGAGAACCTCTAGAAAATGAGGTGGTGGGTAATTATTGCTAAAAGTGCATCACAGGAAAATCATGTCTCGCATGCCCGTGGCCTGCCCCCAAGTGCATGCCAGCCTTTAGGTTTGCTGTTCAGGAAGTGTTCTCTGTGATGCTAACGTTGCCATACCTTTCAATAGGAAGGTCTCAGTTACCAGAAATTACAGAAGTTTACAGGCTATAATAAATTTTTAGCTAATTTTTCACAAATTAGGTTGCAAAAACTAAGGTCGTCCCAGTCTAACAAACCCTCAGTGACCAAACCGAGTTCTCAAAGCTGGATTCCAAAGCAGGGGCATCTACAGCACCGAGGGGCGGCCTCTCCTCACTACCTTGCATCTTATTTCCTTTTAGTGAAACTTTAATTTATGGGTGAAGTCAAGTGATTATTTTGATTGTCCTTTAGTAAAATCAAAGGAAAAATCACAAATACTCCCCAAATCCCCATGCTAGCATCTGTGGAGGCAGGGACTTCCTCTGTCACACACACAAGGAATTGTGCCACTTTGTTCAATTTTGTGATTTAAATTAAATGTAATTTACTATTATTACTGTACTAATAGTAAATTATTGATTTATATAATTGAAGTAAGTAGTTTATTTAATGTATTTTATTATTTTATGAAAAAGTATATATAAGCTCCTAATCTAAAAGTTTAAAAAACTTCATTGTTTATGTTTTCTTTCAACAGAAAAGAAGTTAGTAAGCCATGAGCAAAATCTATTTTCCTCTAATCATTTCCTGATTAGTCAATAGTTAAACTTTATCATATTGTTACAAAAAAATTATTAATTTTGTTAAAATGTTTTAATTAGATAGGAGCTAGATATAATTTCATAGCCATAATTTTATAGTAAAAAATCATGAAGTTTCCAAAGAATTCTTCCAAACCTTCATATTCTTAACCAAGGTTAAGATGTGGATTGATGTGTCTCTGGGTTATATGTGTACATGTCTGTCTGTGAGATTTCTCTTGCTGCTTAAAAGTGGTACTTAGAGTTAGATTTAAAGATAGTTAGGCTTCAGCTTCCTTTCGAGATGTGATACTGACCTGTCCCCCCAGAAGCACCCTGAATCTTTGGGAACTGTTAGATGGAATGTCAGGAGGAATCACAGACACACCCGAGTTGGAAACTGTTCCAACTAAATTTTTGTGTGATTTAAAAAAATGTCATCATGTTTCACCATGAGTCACATTGTATCTAATTATTAGAATTCCTAGTATTTTAATTGAAATAGTGAATTAGAATAGATAATGTGGTATAGTTGAAAAATAACTATTCCCCTGTCGAGAGACCCGGTGCTGCTTGCCCTGCCGCGCTCGGGAGTCCGGCTGGGGACATACGGTCTGAGGTCTCAGCCCCCCGTTTCCTCAGCTCGCAAGTCAGAGGCTGTGACTCTGCAGCTAGTGACCGTCACAGGTGAGGCACAGCGCGAGCTTCTCCTGAGAGGAGTCTCATTGAGGTACCAAGTGAGGTTTTCTAAGTTTTATTTTTTGATGTCTATGTATTATCAGATGTCTATGATGTCTATGTATGATGTTTTAATTTCTTAAACTGTGTTCCTTGGTGTGGTGGATGGCGTACGTGTACACCTTGCCTTCTTATGACAGCTGCTATTTGACATTTGACAGCTATCAATTGAATCTGGCTTTGTTTCCTTTTCTGGTTTTAAAATATTTTCTGACTACAAAAGGTACCCCTTCCTGACAGCTAACTCACACCCGTCAGCACCTGCACACACTCCCCAGCACGCTGCAATGCGACACTTGCTGCCAGGTTCCTGAGGAGGCTGGGGACATCAGGCCTGTGCAAAATATAACAAAAGAGGAGAAGAAGCCTCAGCTTTGGTTTGGATGAAGTTACCTGGTTTTTTATTAATATCTTTAATGATTAATTTTCAATGCATGTCATTCTGTTAATGCTACAGTTTCATTTTACTTATATATCACATTCGTATAGCCAAGTAATAAGATGTTATTTTAGTATGTTAGAGTGTCAGTGGGTTTGAACATGCAAAAAAACAACTTGAGACAGATATGGGGAATCAGCATTGTAAAAAATCTATTTTTTTTAGGGAATGAATACCCAGTGATAAAATGATGCCTACCTAGTGTTTTTTTAACATAAGAAACTTTTTAAGGAAATCAAGTATTTGCCACCATCGTAGTTCACCACTTGTTGCCTTGTAGAACATCCACTGTGTAACTCCTGGGGCATCCATGCTTGTGCAGTGGTTTACGGCCTCTCTTTCTGAGACAGCTGGTGGGATTGATGGTTTATTTTATTTTTTAATTTTTTTTAGTGTGATGGAGGTAGGGCTGTGGGTTTGTAAGAAATCAGGAATAGAGGAGAATCGACCACTGCTTCATGCCTGGAAAAGGAAACAATAATTTGAAGAAGGAATTTATAATTTAACATACTGGTTAAAACTTTGGGACAGTAGGAGTGAGGTTGCAATACTTACTTTATTGTATATTCTACATTAACTTCAAAATTGTGTCTTTGAACAAAAGGTAATCTATTTGTAGGTATTTTTTGTGTTAATAGTTCATAAACAATTTGAGGTAGCTGATAAACCTACATACAACTGCATAGTTAAATGTTAAGTCGAAAAGAAAAATGAGGAACATAAGGAAAATGGAAACATAATTTTACCAGAAACCCAGGATATATCAGGGTCTTAATATACTATGACGCTTAGTTCTGGGCCCCTTGGCAGCCAAGGCAAAAAGATGCAAGATGAATGATGGAGCTCCAGTCGTGTGATACAGCCATTATACCAGTTCCTCAGGGAGGCTCACTGTCTTGGCATTCGGCGTGTCTGAATTTCCACACACTGCCCAGCTTGGACCTGAGCTCAGTCATCATTGCTGTGCCCCATACAGGTCATCAGGACCAGACTGCTTAGGACGCTCACAGATGTGACAAGTATTTATCTTCAGCAACATCATTATTATCCAGACATGTGAATTTACCTTTTTTTTTTCCAACTGAGGTTTTATATTATTTGCATATAAATTTGTTGAAAACACCATGAAATTTACAATCAGGGCTAGAAGTAATTCTTACACTATGAATCAAAATACTTACTCAGTCCTTTCTGTACACAGTAAATCTGACCTCTTATTTTTGACTCACATTATTATATTTTTGTGCACATAACTACGTCTGTTCTACTGTGGGTCATATGCCTGTTCTTAATTAATACTTAAAGGTGGCTAGAGACATTGATTTATCCCAAACATGGGGTCCAATTACAGAGCGTCCTTTTGCAGATGTACAAACTAAACCTTAGTCATCTTGAATGAGTTTTCCCAAGTTTAATTTAGGTCCCCAAGCTCAGGTAACGGAGCTTCCCTGTATTACTTCCTTCCTGGTTGCGCAAGCCACACTTGCTGTGTGGCCTGTAAGCATTTAAAACCCAGAGGACAGGAGCTTTCCCGGCGTGCCTGCAGCTGCCTTTTAGTGGATGAGTGGTAGGAGAAAAGCTGAATACTTGAAGTCACCAAACTTGGAATTTAGGAAGTTGCTGCATGTTCCTTTCTCGACCTTCCCCTGCAAGATTCTGGGAGGGAAGGCTCCAGGACAGGCGTGAAGAATACCCAAATCAAAGCATGTGGTTTGCGTAGCACCTGGTCTGGTGCAAGAGGCCCAGGGATGTGTGTCTGCTGCTATGGAGCTCACCCCAGGCCAGACGCCTGCGCAGAGCGGCGATCGCAGGCTTAGGGTCTCCGCATTTGCCAATGGTGTTCCCCAAACCAAAGACTGATAACTCACGGGGGGCTGGGACATGTTCAAAATAAACCACACCTACCACTCTTAATCAGTGTAGGTAGTTGTTTAGTGTGGCTCAAGTACCTGATAAAGAGATGTCGTTGTTATTAATCTAGAATATTTCATGAACTGATTGTGGGACAGGAGCTAAAACATCTGATGTCGTTCATGTCTGCAGCAGTCTGTCTTGAATATGTGACTGAGATGGAAAATACTAGTGCCTGATATTCCTAGTTTATGCTTCTCCTCATGTCGCTATATAATATTATTAGTGTAAAAATACAACTCAGTGTTTAGAAAGAAGCACATCTACAGAAACTAAATTTGTTGTCAAAATAATGGCCAATTATTATTCTCAAAGTTTTTTTAATCTTCCTATTAAAAATTAGAAATGGGGATAATCAACGTTTGTTAACATACACTACAGATTCATACCGAACACTATAGCAATTTGAGTTTCAGCCTCACTTGCAATAATTATACATATGCTGAAACATGTGAAATTCACTGGATTTATGTACTTATTTCCTGGGAAGGACTCCTTGACGCACCTATTTTGTGATCTGGCTGAATTTATTTCTGAAATTTAATGAATTTTGTTTACATTTAGTCTTCACTGCAAT